TCCATCGGCCACGTAGGAGATCCATCTGAGTAGGAGGTCCATTTCCACCAGCCACGTAGGAGGTCCATCTGAGTAGGAGGTCCATTTCACCGTCAAGAAGAATCCCACTAACTGAGTCTAGTAAACCCTGTAGTTTTTTCAGCACCTCGCAGGTGCTCTGGTATTTCCCCTGGTCGACAGATGCTATCACCCCCTTCACCATTTTTATGCTCGTCTTGAGTTGCCTCACAATTGTGAACGGAGGTAGCCCAATTGCTGCAATGTCAACCACGTCCACTGCGCTCTCTACAGCAATAGCAGGAGCAGCAGGAGGATTAGCAGCAGCAACAGCAGCAGGAGGAGCAGCAGAAGAGGCAACAGTAGGCATAGCAGCAGCAGCAGAAGTAGCAGCATAAGAGGTAGCAGCAGGTATAGCAGCAACAGCAACAGGAGTAGCAGAAGAAGAGGCAGCAGCAGGTATAGCAGCAGCAGAAGCAGCAGCAGGTATAGCAGCAATAGTAGCAGCAGCAGTAGAAGAACAAGCAGCACCAGGTATAGCAGCAGCAACAGCAGCACGTTTAACAGCAGCAACATGTATAGCTGCAGCTGCAGCAGCAGCAGCAGCAGCAGGTATAACAGCAGCATCAACAGGGATAGCAGCTTCAGCAGGAAAAATACCAGGAAAAGGAGCAAGGATAGCAGCAGTAGCAACAAAAACTACATCAGCAGGAATAGGGATAGTAGCAAGAGCAGCAGCAATAGGGATAACAGTGCCCGTAGTCGAAGGAATAGCAACAGTGCAAGCAGGCGCAGGAGCAAGGACAGCAACACAGGAGGGAATTATAGTAGAAGGGACGGCAGAAACAGGGGTCGCAGCAGCAGAGTAAGCCTCCAGCAATCGTTTACTATGACCCAATTGGCCTGCATAAAATTTCAGCTGATACCTCTCCAACTTAAGGGCGTGTAACTTTTTCCGTTTTCATCAAATGTCCAGACGGAGCCCCCAAAACGTCCGAACAGGCCTCCGTCCTTACGTTTCGGACTCAGGTCCGGACGACAGCCCGTCCGCCACACAAACGTGGAACTTTTCGCACTATCGAAATTTTTGAGTTTTGCTATAAATTATAATACGCATTACTGCAATCATAAAGCGTCGTGAGGGTTCGCACCGAAAAATCAGCGGCATGGTATAAGGTGAGAATTTTAACAAATCGTGCAACAATGACAGCGCAAAAAAATCGGACGGTCCGATATGCCGTTCGGACGGTGTCAGTAGGGTAGTCAGGAACAATTTTTTGACAGAAAAGTGTCAGACATGGTTCGGACGGTGGCGACGTCACAGGGCGTCTCGTGAAGCCCTTACCGAGGTGCCGCAAAAATAGTTACCTTACAAATATTTGGACAGGGCCTCCGTCCGGACGATGGAATGTGAAAAGTTACACGCCCTAAGCTCTTCCAGTTGGCTTACGGAAAAAATAACCCTCTATTTTCCGACTTGAGCTCTTCCTTCTGCCCCACCAAAGCCCGCACATATCCTCTCGTTAGATATTCCAACTTCCTCTTCATTCCCTCAACCGAAACCTCCAAGGTCCTCTTCTGCCCTTCCAACGCCATCACCTGTTCTCTCCCAGCATTTTCCATCTCCACCTGCTGTCTCTTCATTGCCTCAAAGGCTTCCTGGAACGACCTCTTCTCATCTTCCAACATTCTCGCCTTCTCTCTCACATCTTCGATCTCCACCTCATTTCTCCTCGTTCTCTCAACAGCATCCTTCGAAGCACGCTTCTGCTCTTCCAGCACCTTCTCCTTCTCCTCCACCAGAACCTCCATCTGCTTTCGTCCCTCTTTCAGGTCTGCCCTCAGCTGCCTTTCTTGCACTACGACTTTCTCCCTCATGGCTGCACTTCTCTCATTAGCAGCTGCCACCTCCACTGCCAGCTCAACAGCCCTCTCCTCCACCACCAAAGCCTCCACCTGACTTTGCCTCACCTCCCGCTCTACGAGCAGCAGCTGTGCTGTTTCCCTGGCAAACTCGTCCCTCTCAGCTGCAATTCTCTCAATTTCAGCTGCATTTCTTGCCTGGTCAGCCCAGCACACTTGCACCTCCCGTGCGAGGGCAGCCCTCTGTCTGTCCTGCTCCACTGCTTGTATCTTGAGAGCTAACTCTGCCTGCTGAGATGCTGCCACCTGCTGCAGCAACGTACCAACCTTGGCCTCGGCCACTCCACACTGCACCTCGACTTGCATGCACAAAAAGGAGGGAGGGCTTCATACGCATGATGCAAAGTCGTATAGAATACATAAATCCATTATAACCTTCAATGCATATTCCTCCTCCCCAATCACAAACCCCCCGCTTCATCCGCCTACTCCACTGCTTCCCTCATGCTCCCCTCTCCTCCCCACTCACAAACACGCCACCCATTTCACTCATCCGCCTCACCTTCTCCTCCACGCTGACGAGTTTTGCCCGAAGCTCCTCCCGTTCCCTTTGCAGCACCTCGCCATAGCCCATTTGCATCTCAATTTTATCAAGGGCCTCTTGCAACTCGTCCCTCAACGCTTTGTTTAGCCATTCCATTGTGCCCATTTTGTCCTCCTTACTAGTACTCGTCTTCACCTGCTCCTCCAATTTCAATTATTCATGCTACGTCGGGGGTGAAAAGGAAGATACCACACAGCGAAAGGGAAACACCACGTAATTATGATAATCACCGCAATGAATGGGAAACATCATACAACCGCCCAAGGAACAGGAAACACCACAAGAAATCTGATCCTCAAAACAGTAGCGCACCCACATGTGCTGTTTCTAAGTTCTAATCCACAAGCGGTGTTTACCCCACATGCGGTCTTTCTAACCCCCAAAAGGTGTTTCTTCCCTGCTGCCCGTTCTCATGCAGTAATGCATGTTCTCATCTCAGGCGGTATTACCATTTCCCATAAGGTGATTCTTGTCAGAATATTATAGCTTACTTATTTGTGTAGGCTATAGTGGGGTATCCCATAGGGGGTACAACCCAACTAGGGTTTCCTATTTGTACTCACTTCATTCATAGTTCATTCATTCTCGTTCAATTCTTCTCATGGTATCAGAGCAGGTCCCCTCCTAGGGACTGTTCCTAGGGCCCACCGAAGCGCGCCCCGAGGCGCGCGTTCCTTTTTTTTTTTAGCGACCCTGCGTGTCGCCCTTACCTTCGCGATCCCGCCGCCCCTTAGGCCCCGTCGGCCCCACTGCAGCCCCGCTACGGCCCCGCGTCGGCCCCGCTTAGGCCCCGTCGGCCCCGCTTAGGCCCCGCTACGGCCCCTCGTCGGCCCCGCTTAGGCCCCGTCGGCCCCGCTTAGGCCCCGTCGGCCCCGCTTAGGCCCCGCTACGGCCCCGCGTCGGCCCCGCTTAGGCCCCGTCGGCCCCGCTTAGGCCCCATCGGCCCCACTTAGGCCCCGCTACGGCCCCGCTACGGCCTCGCTACGGCCCCGCTACGGCCCCGTCGGCCCCGCCTAGGCCCCGCCGACCCTGCTACGGCCCCGCTACAGCCCGTCGTCGGCCCCGCTACGGCCCCGCTACGGCCCCGCTTAGGCCCCGCTGCAGCCCCGCTACGGCCCCCATTGCGGCCTCGCCGCCCGTGCTGCAGCCCGCCGCGCCACCCGTGCAGCCGCCCGTGCGCCATCCGTGCACCCGCCCGTGCAACCGCCCGTGCAACCGCCCGTGCAGCCGCCCGTGCAGCCGCCCACCGTGCCGCCCGTGAGCCGCCCCAGCCGCCCGTGAGCCGCCCGTGCAGCCGCCCGCGCCGCTCGTGAGCCCCCGCGTCACCCGAGCCGCGCGAGCCGCCCGAGCCGCCCGAGCCGCCCGAGCCGCCCGAGCCGCCCGAGCCGCCCGATCCGCCCGAGCCGCCCGAGCCGCCCGAGCCGCCCGAGCCGCCCGATCCGTCTACGGTGCCGGGAGCCGGGTCCTGTGGGTCTGCTGCTACTCCTGGGCCGGCGGAGTTGCTGAGCTGCTGTGTTGCTGTCCTACTGAGCTGCTCGACCCTTCTTCTCTGGTGAGACTGTCGGCTGCTATCATGGCCACCCCCAGTGTCCTGGCCTTTGACGCTGAGGGTCGCGCCATTGACTTTGCGGTCTGGGTCGAGGACCTGCAGCTGTACTTGCAGTGCGATTCAGTAGATGACATCTCTCTCTTTGACTTTGCCTCTGGCGCTGTCCCTGCCCCTCCTGCTGATGCTGACCCCACTGTTCGCTCCAAGTGGGCCACACGCGATGCTGCTGCACGTCTTGCTGTGCGTCACCACCTCCCTTCCTCCGAGCGTGCCCACTTTAGTCAGTGCAAGACCGCTCAGGCCTTGTACGACGCTATAGTTGCGCGCTACTCCTCCCCTTCCACTGCTACACTGAGCCGCCTAATGCTACCGTACCTCTTCCCTGACCTTGCTGCCTTTCCCACAGTCACTGACCTCTTTACCCACCTTCGCGCTAGTGACACTCGCTACCGAGCTGCGCTTCCTGCTGCCTTCCTCGCCGAAAACCCCCCTCCCATGTACATCACCCTCTACTTTCTAGTCACCCGTCTCCCTGAGTCCCTTCGTGCTGTTAGGGACCAGTTTCTCTCTGTCTGTCCCACCACCCTCACTGTCGACCTCCTCGAGAAGTCCCTGCTAGCGGCCGAGAAGAGCATAGTCGCTGTAGGGGCCTCTCGTGGTGACCCGCGCACCCCCATCTTTGAGGGGTGTTCTCCTTCCCCCCTGTTACCCTCTGTCGCCTCTGCTGCTGCGACCGACCTCGTTGGTTTAGAGTCGGTCGGTGCGGCGTCTGCCCCCAGCGGTAGGCGCTGCTCTGGCAGGAGCAAGGGGGGCAAGGGAGCGGGTAGAGCTAGCGGGGGCAGTGGCGGAGGAGGTGGGGGCGGCGGGGGGAGTGGGGGTGGCGGTGGGGGTGGAGGCGGAAGTGGAGGTACTGGTGGCGGCAGTGGAGGCGGAGGTGGCGGCGGAGGTGGTGGCGGAGGTGGCAGTGGGAGCGGCGGGGGCGAGGGTGGCGGTGGCGGCGGTGGCGGCGGAGGCGGGGGTGGCGGTGGTGGAGGTGGTCGGAGTGGCTCGTCCCAGAGGAGCAGCACTGGGGGTGGTCAGCGCCAGCAGCAGCAGCAGCAGCAGCAGCAGCAGCAGCAGCAGCAGCAGCAGCGCTCACGCGACGTCCCCGCCCTTCAGCAGCTCCGTGAGTGGTACTCGCAGCGTCAGCGTGGTGGGGCGTTCGGTCCCTGCACCTACGTCCTTCGCACCGGCGACCGCGCGGGTGAGCAGTGTGGGGGCACCCACACCGCTCGCCGCTGCTTTGCCCGCTTGACCGACGCTTGGCGCCAGCAGTTTCCGGAGGCCTCTGAGATCCCCCGCTGGGGAGAGCTGTCTAGGGCTGGTGTAGCTGTTTTTGATCTTGACTTTGATGCTATCCTTGCTGCCATGTATGTTGTGACTGTTAGTGATGATGGTGACTGTTACCGGTGTTTCCCGCCCGACCCGGACATTGGTACTGCTGCGTCAGGTGCCAGTGAGGCTGCTGCTCTAGGTGCCAGTGCGTCTGTGCTCTTAGGTACTAGTGAGTCTGCCCTCTCAGGTACTGTGTCGGCTTCTGCCTCTCACACCTTCACCCTTGACTCTGGGGCGTCTCGCTCCTTCTTTCGGGACCGCACCACTCTCACGCCGCTTAGTCGGCCTGTTGCGGTGTCCCTGGCTGACCCCTCTGGGGGTCCTGTCCTGTCTCGTTTCTCCACAGTCCTCCCGTGTCCGGCGGCTCCCTCTGGCACCCTGACTGGTCTTTACCTCCCCTCGTTCTCTACGAACCTGGTGAATGGTGCTGACCTACAGGATGTGGGTGTCCACCAGTTCACTCCTGCTCGTCAGCGGGTGACACACTGCACAGAGGCTAGCACAGGTCGCCACCTGGCTACGTTTACACGTCAGCCAGGGTCGAGCCTGTACACACTGACCACTGCTTCTCCTCCCGGTGCTGAGTCTGGTAGAGTCCCTTCGTCTGGTCAGGTGTTTGCTGCAGCGTCCAGGTCTGGTCCTGAGTCTGCCCCCTGTTCGTGTCGCCGTCTGTCTCACGAGACTCTCCTCTGGCACCACCGCCTTGGCCACCCCTCTCTGCTTCGGCTCAGAGGCATGGCCTCCCGTCTTCTTGTGTCTGGTCTCCCCCGGTCCCTCCCTCCCCTTCCTCAGGGCCCTGGCCCTGCCTGTGTCCCCTGTGTCGAGGGGCGCCAGCGTGCTGCCCCTCACTCCTCCCAGTTTCCTCCGACAGAGGCTCCGTTGCAGACACTTCACATGGACGTGTGGGGCCCTGCCCGCGTCCGTGGACTCGGTCACGAGCGCTACTTCCTGTTGGTGGTTGACGACTACTCGCGTTACACCACAGTCTTCCCCTTGCGCAGCAAGGGTGATGTCACTGAGGTGCTGATCGACTGGATCTGCGCAGCTCGTCTCCAGCTCAGGCAGAGCTTTGGCTCGGACTTTCCTGTGTTGCGTCTGCACTCGGACAGAGGCGGAGAGTTCTCCTCTGGCCTTCTGCGAGCCTACTGTCGTGCGCGAGGCATCCGTCAGACCTTCACGATTCCGGACTCACCGCAGCAAAATGGGATTGCAGAGCGCCGCATTGGCATGGTCATGGACGTTGCTCGTACGTCTATGATGCATGCGGCTGCCCCCCATTTTCTGTGGCCGTTTGCGGTCAGGTACGCGGCGCATCAGATCAACCTCCACCCCAGGGTCTCCAGGCCGGAGACCTCCCCAGCCCTGCTGTGGACGGGGAAGGTTGGCGATGCGTCGGCGTTCCGGGTCTGGGGATCTCGGGCGTTTGTCCGCGACTTGTCTGCGGACAAGCTGTCCCCTCGCGCTGCTCCCTGCGTCTTCCTGGGGTTCCCCCTCGACGCCCCTGGGTGGCAGTTCTACCACCCCACCTCTCGACGTGTTCTGTCCTCTCAGGACGTCACGTTCGACGAGTCGGTACCCTACTACCGCCTCTTCCCCTACCGCACTCCGTCCCTCCCCCCGCCCCCGCTCTTTTTGGTACCAGGTCCCCCCCCGGTAGACCCCCTCCTCCCTCAGGGTCCTGCCCCTTTAGGTGTGTCCCAGGTAGACGCGGTCGAGCCTGTCGAGGTCACTGGTGACTCTGGTGCTGCTGTGGGAGCTGAGCCTGGGGGTGCTGGGACTGGAGGTGCTACGCTTGGGGGTACTGAGCCTGGGGGTGAGGAGTCTGGAGGTGCTGAGCCTGGGGGTGCTGAGCCTGGGGGTGCTGAGCCTGGGGGTACTGAGTCTGGGGGTGCTGGGCCTGGGGATGCTGGGCCTGGGGGTGCTGAGCCTGGGGGTGCTGAGACTGGGGGTGCTCCGCCTGGAGGTGCTTTGCCTGAGGGTGCTGAGCCAGGAGGTTCTTCGCCTGGAGGTTCTCCGCCTGGAGGTGCTTCGTCTCGCCGAGAGCCACTCTCCCCACAGGAGCTACGTGAGTGGTTTGCCCGGCGCTGGAGGCGTGCTGCTGGTGCTGGAGGTT